TTTCTTAACAGGTCAGCTATAGGAAAGTCTGAGAACAGTTCCGTAGTTTTTAGCCAGTGGGCAGCCCTTAAAAGTATTAGGTCTAATAGGTCTTCCAGGGATCTTTCCTTTTCTGAAAATATTCGAGAGTTTCTTTCCTCCCACAGTGACCAACACACGGCTGCCCTAATACTCCTCCACATCATCTTCCCTCGCTTCTTAGGCCATCTGAAAAATGTAGGGGAGAAAAAACCTTGGACACTCTCAGGAGGGTTCCAAGTACACCCAAAGCGAGAGAGTACCCACTCCCAAACAGTTTTAGTAACCTTACAAGAAACCATAAAGTGGTAACTGGATTCCCCATCATCTTTACAGAGAGAGCATCTAAAAGGAAGTAAACAAGAATTGGGTCTCTTTTTCTGAAGTAGATCATTTGTATTTATTCTTTCCAGGAAATTTTCCCAACAAAAAAACCCAACCCGAGGAGGAATGGGCTTGCTCCAAATTTCCTTAGTCGGAAAGGACACACCAGGAGGGGCAGATGACTGAGCTAAGGTTTCAAAAAACGAAGCACAAGAGAAGGTTCCTAAAGTAGAAGGGATCCAAATTCTGGTGTCTTCCCTATTAGGATCAAGGAAGATATTCTCAATGATGGCTAATAAAGGTAAGAGGCTGTCCAAGTCTGTATCCCTAATTGCCCTTCACAGGCTGAGGTTCCACCCAAAACTAGAAGTGGAGTCTAAAGGAACTAAAAAGGAAGAGATAGGTTCATTTTTCAAATCTGACAGAGCATACAAGGAAGGAAACTGGTCCTTCAGAGGTGAAACCCCAACCCAAAGATGTTCCCAAAATTTTATTCGATTGCCAGAATTAACACCATACTTGATCCAAAGGGAGAAAGCTGGAAGCAGATCATGGATGGATTTCCACGGAGAAGCAGCTGTAGCCCTTGCCACAATTCCAGAATCCCAGTTGTTGTCTTCCAGCCCATGTATGCTAGCCACGATCTTTGTCTACAATTTTTCCTTTTCCATTGTGAACCTCCACAACCATTATTCCAATAACGCCATATTCCTTTTCTTGATGTTTCCAATCCCAAGACCTCCTAGTTTTTTACATCTAATTACCACCTCCCATCTCACCCTATGATCTCTCTTCTCCTCTCCTGGCTCCCAAAGAAAATTCCTCATTAATTTTTCCAATAAGTTGGAGACCTTGGTTTGGATCTTAAACACTGACAAATAATAAACAGGTAAGTTAGCTAGGGTGGACCTAATCAGAGTGACTCTCCCTCCTAAGGAAAGATAAWTTCTCTTCCAGGGCGCAAGCCTCTTCTCAAATCTCTCCACTACCGGAGTCCAAAAGCTTTCATTCTTAGGGTTATCTCCTAAAGGGAGGCCCAAGTACGTCAAAGGCCAATTTGAGATTGCACAACCTAACACACCTGCATAATTCCTTAACTCCCTCTCCTCCATATTCACCCCCACCACAACTCTTATCAAAGTTCACCTTAAGGTTAGACATCTGCTCAAAGAGTTGTATTGCTAATTTTAAATTCCGGATCCAGCTAATATTCCCACCCTCACAAAACAAAATTGTGTCATCTGTAAACTGGAGATGGGTCAGTGGTACCTCCTCCCTGCTAACTCTCCACCCTTTTATCAGATTCCTCGAGTCTGCTCTATGGATCAATCTCCCAAGTACATTAGCCATCAGGGTAAAAAGAAAGGGGGAAGAGTGGGTCTCCTTGTCTTATACCTCTCAAAGTAGGAAAAAAGTCAACCATTGTTCCATTCACCAATATAGAATAGTGACAAGTCCTAATACAGCCCCAGATCCATTTACACCACCTTTCTCCAAAGCCATAGCTTCTCAACACCTCCACTAAAAAAGACCAATCCACTAAGTCATAAGCCTTCTCCAAGTCCAATTTGCATACCACTCCCTTCTTAGATTTCCTGAAGCTCTCCAGACTCTCATTTGCAATGAGGGTTTGATCAGTGATCTATCATCCCTCTACAAAGGCTCCTTGGTTGGGTGCAATAATAGAGGGGAGGACCTTCTTTATCCTGAGAGGCAACACTTTTGCAATTATTTTATACAAGCTATTCACCAAACTGACAGGTTTGAAATCCTTAGGTTGTGATGCCTCTTTCTTCTTTGGGACCAAAGCAATGAAAGTTTAGTTCAGGCCCGGATTAATTATTCCCCTACTATGAAACTCCTCGAAGACTGACCTAAGATCCTTCTCCACTATATCCCAACAATCCTGATAGAAAGCCATTGTGAAGCCATCTAGGCCTAGAGCTTTTGTCCTATCCATTGAGAATACTGCTGCCTTTATCTCTTCCAGATCAAACCTCTTTTCCAACCACTCTCTGTTCTCTGCACTTAGAGTCGACCACTCCAAACCCTCCAACCACACCCTCTCATTCAAAGGCCTTCTGAATATAGATTTGAATTGAGTTACTAAGGCCTCTACTATTTCTACCGGGTTCGACAAGACTACTCCTACTTCCAATTTTGATATGAATCATTGAATGGAAAAATCTAGTGTTTCTATCTCCCTCCTTTAGCCACTTACACCTAGATTTTTGCCTCCAACTTATTTCCTCCTTAATCAGAATATCCTCCATCTGCCTCCTCAAATCCCATCTCATTTTCCTGTCTTCCTCTCCAAAGGATCCCCTCTCTTCCTTCATATCCAAATCCTCAATCTGCTCCAGCAGGACTTGTTTCCTTTCCTCTATTCTTCCAAACTCCAACCTATTCCACTCCTTTAATTGTGATTTTAAAAACTGAAGTTTCTTATGGAACCTTATTCCCTCCCACTCTACTACCAATTGCTCCCACCACTCCCTACTCTTCTCACTGAACCCCGGATGGGTCAACCACATATTTTCAAACCTAAATGGAGTGGGTCCATCACCTCTCAATTCCTCCTTACACATCACTATAGGCCAATGGTCTAAAGTAATTCTTGGGAGTGCCCTAGATACTAGGTTACCCCAATGTTCCTCCCAGTCTGTTGAGAACAAGAATCCGTCCAGCTTGGAGCAT